CGCACGAAGAAGGAGGAGACGGTGGAGACGGTGCGGCAGCAGCTGGAGAACTGCTACCTCCTGGCGGGCATTAACTACAAGGGGTTCACCGTGAAGCAGTTCCAGGACCTCCGGAAGACGCTCCCGGAGAGCACGAAGCTGATCGTGGCGAAGAACACGCTGGTGTACAAGGCTCTCGAGGGCACTCCCTGGGACGCCCTCAAGCCCTGCATGAAGGGCATGAATGTCTGGCTCTTCGTCCACTCCGAGGAGATTCCGGCCGCCATTAAGCCCTACCGCGACTTCCAGAAGGAGAAGAAGCTCGAGGACAACGACTTCACCGGCGCTGTTTTCGAGGGCAAGTTCTACGGTCCCCACGACTTTAAGAAGCTCGAGACGCTGCCCACGCGCGCCCAGATTTATGCCACTCTCTTGGGGGCTCTCAAGAGCCCTGCTTCCGCTCTCGTTTCCACTCTTCAGGCTCCTTCTAGAGACCTTCTCATGCTTCTCAATGCACATATCAAGAATCTTGAGGAACAACAGGCTGCTGCTTCTCAATAGAACTCTTTCTTGAGACTTGTAAGTCTTTGTTTTTTACCCTTTTCATTGCATTGCACTTGTTTTCTTCGCTTCTTCCCTTATTTATTTACATGGATGTGTACATTATGTCTTGTCTTGTGTTGTTTGTCAAGGAAATGGAAATGGAAATTGAGGGAAGACAAAATGTAGAATAGGGATGCTCCCTTTCAATCATGCAATTTCACCGCTTATTGGTTGTTAAGTGCACAGACTATGAGTGTTGTGGTTGAGGAAGGCGACTTGTTGTGGAGGAACCTATTTGGTTTGTTAGGAGCCAACCATTCTGGACATTGCCTAGTCTGTTTAGATAACACTCAATAATCAATTGGACAAAACTTATATTCGCTACCATATGTGTTGCTCTACGATTAGAATTGGAGTTTCACTTTTATAATATAAGATCAAATGATTCCATTAAATGTCCTCGCATATTATTGAGATAAACTTTCAATTCTGAGTGAAAAATAATTGTATCTGAGTTTTTTCCTAATTGATTTTGTCCCCTCAAAATCATGGGGATACCATGAAAAAAGTAGAAGCAACTATTTGTTGCTTTACTTTCACCATGGAAAATAATTAATTATTTCTCACCATGAAACTATTTGAGTTGTTCTCGTTTGATGAGTTTATCTCAATTGTAGCCACAAATAGAGAGAGGTTAGACATTGGGAATTGATTATGGGGAAAATTTGTGAAAACTTGAGTAAGCATATATGGGGAATTGAATTCATTTTTCTACCTTCCTCCGCTTTCTAAAGGGTCCAGACTGTCTTTAAGTGTTTATGGTTCATACATGCTAGTCTAAGCAAATTACACGGATCAAGAACACCTCAACCCCTTTATCTTGACTCAGTCATATTCATTATGTTGAATCAGGACTATATTATAGCAGTCCACATAGAACAAAAGTTGTTAATGAAATGAAATCTCTGTAATTACCTCCTCCTTGCTCACTAGAACATTTGGAGGTTCACTGCGGCAAGATTTAACCAATAACGCTAAATTGACAGTCATGTCAACCGTATCTCTGTGATAACAATAAAATCCATGTGTAACATAAAATATTAATGAAAAATGAAAAACCAGGTGAAACACACCAACACAGAAACTCACTTCCTTGTTCTTACCGCTAACTATATGTTGGGTACGATTCCACGTCATATAATATGTTAATAAACATCAATATCATCCAAATTTTGTGAAAATGAAAGAGAATTGGTGTGAAGCACTCCAATTGTTCTGATTAAGGAGTATGTACAGCCAATTCCATATATTAAAAATTAGGGGAATGCTGTATAAACCACAATTTATGGCGTTTTTTGACATTGTATCAAAACTTTTCTGACCAAATTTACTTGTTATACATGACTATATAATTGCTAGTAAGGAATTTTTGTTCCTTCTTGTGTAAGGCCTCATTTTAGAAGGGAGATTTTTTTTTCTTT